TCACAAGGGCGTTGATGGGAGGTGGACCATCGCAAACACTAGTCGATAGGCACTCGGCTACAGTTGGATAATTTATGTCGCAGCTTTATGAGAGACTAACTAGCGGGTAGCAGAGCCAGTTGGTACCAATGTGAAATGATCTCTACATTCGCCTCCAACGCCTACACCTTATGAATCTTTTCGATTGCGCCGGGAGTGTTCGGAGATGTCTTCATACCAAACCATCGCTTCAAAATTATTGACGCTATTATTGTTATACACCACTGATTATTTAAATTACTTAAATTTCGCTGACATTTGACTGGGATTATCACTCTGCATTATCACGGGTGTAAACTAGAAAAAACGGTTTTGAAATTAAATTGGAATTGATGTTAATCCGAGTAGCAGGATAATTGACAATTGACCATTGACAATTGACAATTGAAAATAAATATGAATTCTGTTGACAGGCTCTGCTGGTATCGGCGTTTGTTATAATGCAATAAAAAAAGAGAAACTGAAAAAAATGTGTTTTAATAACGGATATTACTGCAGAGACCCGATATAATGACACAATATCAATTGCGTAATATTAGCAAGTGCCCATTGGCAACGGGGGACCTGAGATAAAAGGAGCTGAAAGCAAAAAAATGGTTACCGCTAAATCGCTAAAGCTGTGTAGAGTATATAGATCTTATTTCAATAGGTCAAACCACTCCATCGAGTGAATGTGAAAGAGAGACCCCTGAAAAGCGATTTCTTGCATGGCTTGACTCGATCAACTCACGGGGTGTATCCCTGTTTGTCATCCAGATTTCCAGCACCTATAATTTTCCAACTTTTTTCATCATCTTCGATCCTGTTACGTGAATAGCATCATCCCTCAGTGTGCCTCCACTCAAGTACCAAATAATCTTTCCATTGTCGTCCCCACGGAGGCCAGTTTTTCCATTCTCCTCCATTCTTCATTGTATATTTTACTTTTTACGTTTTTCAAGCATCTGTCTTTCTCAAATTCTCAAGTGCCACTTCACTCTGGTCTCGATAATAGCTCTTCAAGTGTTTAGAGACAAGTTTCTGGGTAAACACGGGAGCCTCTGGATCTAGGATCGAGTGGATCGGTGGGCATTCTCATGGATTTTGTTATTTCTTCTCTCATTGTCAATGCCACTTCCGTCTCTTCGAGCAGAAGCGAAATAACGTAAGTGAATAATTGTTCTCGAAAGAATTCGGAAGGGCCTTTCCCAACATCTCCAAGTCCTCCCATTCTGCAATAATTTATTATTCAAACTTCCAAACTGCCAAATTGACAAATTTACAAATTGACATTTAAAAATAAATTGTTGTAATATCATTTTCAATAATTAAATTCAGTGTTATTGAACCAATCATTAACGTCATAATTTTTGCAAGTATCAGATGCAATCTCAAAATATCTCGTGGAATTTCCATTGAACTGGAACGAAGATGGAGAGCATTAGAACCTGAAAAATTCCCGAAGAAAACTCAATCTCATCATTACGAGCATTGAATACCTCCAGTTATACGTATGCATGATCCTGAAGCCGTTCAATCTTCACCGAAGTGAAGAAGAATCCCTTCTCACGATACCTCGATCATATCCAATGTATCAACGCTTTAGCACCCGAGGCAGACTCCCTGCCGAGCTCTTCAGAAAGAGGGGGATTAAAAAAAAAAAAATATATCACCTCCTCCTCATCTTCCCTCATCCGTCCACTCGCTTTCCTCTCTACTCCCTCCAATTTTTCTGCAGCTCCGATACCGGAGGTAAAATTAGATTAGTCCGCCACAAGATTCGATCAGTCTGTGATGTGATTAATCCCATCTCTCGATATCGCCACATCGTGGATACTGTATGCTCTCTACTTGATCCCTCGGTTTATTGGAACGAGAAATAACGGGATCCAATCATTTCTGTTTTTGTCAGTTGGAAAATCATCAAACTCCACCTCATCACTCCCCAGACTTTCCTTTCACTCACTCTTCAATAAAAAATTTCATTACCCTTGTAATGATAATCATTATCAACTTATGATTATAAATATTCCTTTGAATTTCATTTTTCAAATCATTTTAATGATGACATCAAGAAAAGGAGCGGTAGTCTAATGATTTTAATGTACATTCAGAAAGAATAAATGTCTCGTTTTTTTTATAATCCAATTATCAAATTATCATTACAGTTATTGATTACTATATACGATGAAATTTTTCGGTTTGATGAGATCTTTTGTTAAATAATCCCGGGATTGTGGGGAGTACTATTTTTTCGGCTGAGTCGGCTCGACCATAAATAACTCAGGAGAGTTCAAATGTAGTTAGTAAAAAAAAAATGGCTCACTGTTGCCCTCGAAATAGCTGCATTGTTTTAGGGGGAGGTACCGAGGATATATCCTTACAACTGCCAGCGAGGAAAATATGTACCCGCGCAGACGCAAACTCAGAGGTGGTAGAAAAGGGACGGAGGAGGTAGTAAAAAATAAGAATAAACTAAATGGTTAGAGGAGAAAAGAATGAGAAGCACAAGGCAACAAAGGCGCAAGTTTCGCCAAGTAATCGTACCCATTAATAACGCACGTTGATCCACCTCCTCTTGAGTGCCGGACACCTCTCGTTTATTTTTTATTTTCTTCCTTCTACTGCATCTCATTCCCCTTCCCTCGGTTTCCTTAATCCCACGCCCTTTTTCATCTTCAAATTAAAAAAAGGAATGAGAGCGCTCCATTGCCATAAATTGCCTATCGCAAATTCCAATTTTTGTTCATGAATCCCCTAATTATTTAATGGGCTAATAATCTTTCAATCCAACGAGTCATGAAGAACTGAAAATGGGACGAGCCCTCACTAGCTCCTTCCAATTAAATAGAAAGTTTTTCGTAAATCTCGAGTACTTGGCACCTCGAAGTGAAAATAGTATTGAAGAACAATTGCCAGGAGAAAGTCTCAATTACCGATATAAATCTCAACAGCTTCACAGAGTGTCACGTGCCGCAGTAATTATCACCAGGAATCATGGCAGATTGAGTCTGATCATAGGATGACCCGGTGAGGTCAGCAATAATCACTGGTATCGCGATGACAATTAATTGAGGGAATACATCCGTATTAAAAAAAATCCGAAGAATGTCTGATTGCGGTTTGGTATCGAAATTGTCACGCCATGTCAGCTCGAATAGAATAGCGTGCAGTTATCAATTGATACAGTATCTCAGGCATCGACTCTTCGATTAATAGAGCAAATGGAATTCAGGCTGTCTCATTTGATCCCATTGCATTTCTATCATTGTATTATTTTCCATTTTGACATTCGACGCTGGCACCGAAGAATTTTAATCCACCGTGTCCAATGATTCTCCTCTTCAGGGCTATCTCTCTCCACCTCTGATCATTCAACTCGCTTTCGAAACCCAGAGGATCGATTGTTGATTTATTCTCCGGTGGGGATCGAAAGGCATCGGGATAAATCGGGGCGAGTACCGGTGGCCCGTTCAAATCCCCATTTTCACACTCCACGTGATACTGACCCCCGTCATCTGACCCACGTCCAATGAAACGTCAAGGATTTAACGTAATAGTGAGAAAAAAAATCAATCAATTTTTTTCTTACATTTTTTCTCATATCAGTGATACTAGTAAATGGTGAATAATAAAAATCGGAAATTCAGGGCTTGGGAATACGATTTTTCAAGAGCAAAAACGCGGAGAAAAATATCAGATGGAAAGATCGCGGGGGCTTTTATATTTACGAGGCTGGGCAGACCTTTCGACCCTTTTCTTCCATACGTTTTTTTCTCCAAGACGTTTTCTCTCCGCGAGAAAAAAAAAACCCGCATTCACATATAGAGAAACATTTACAGAACTCCAATTTATTTGAACAAATGAAAAGTTTGATTGGCGATGTACGCGATAATGATAAATAAATATAAAAAAAAGTCCTGATAAAACAACTCCACTCACCCCTCGAGTTTTCTTCAGCGATGGGGCCTCTCAGGATTTGCGTAATCCCGGTAACTTTTATAGGAGCTCCAATTCCTATATCTGTTGTTGAGAGAAGGACCTTTTCCTATCCTCCGTTCTCTTGATTCTTCACCGCCATCACTCTAACGTATCCGATATAAAGCGTTAGCTCCTTGTGTGTTAGAGCCCTGAGTTTAGTGGAAAAGGTCACCCTCGACTTACAGCAGCTGGCCGGGACTTAACTTTACATCGGAATTTAATTCACCGTGAAATTAAACCGACTTGTGCTACAATGACAATAGACTAGTAGGGATTTCCGCGGTGCGGATTTGCGGGGATTTTTTCTTGACTGAAAACCACTGTGGCGGCAATTCCATTGGTCCTCACCGATATTGTCCAATCCCGATATGAAATTCCACGGAGAATTACCCCAGTTAGACCGAGAATTTCAATTAAATTTCCAAACGTCAGTGCTTTTAACAGAATATCCCAGAAATCGTTAAACACTCATAATTACGGCTCATCGACTTTCGTTAATCACCCAGCGATAATTATCTCCGAGTCAACGTTATCATGGCAGGATGCTTTTGATTTGCATGTAAACACTTTTAGTATTGATAGGATAAGGTTTAATTAAGTTACCGGACAAGCAATTAATATACTGTGGAGATCGATACGATCGCACTGGGTATTTTGTTTTAACACATCGTTGATGGTATGTGTTGGGAAAGATGAAAAAATGAGGTGAGAGAAAAAAGGATGAGATGGAGAGACCGGACATTCAATGCTAAAAACTTGGTAAAATAATGACCGAAGCATGATGATTTATGACTAGTGACTATTGACGCATAACTGCAAGATGAAGAGATTGTCAACATTGAATTAATGATACTGTAATTACCATTCAATCAATTAGAATTGAAAAATGAAATGATAATGGTGAGTGGACAAATTAATAGCGACAGCCCAACATTCATGATTTATCATTTAATTTATTTTAAGTTAAAACGTTTTTTTTTTTTTTACAATAATATCGTACATTCACATTTTTACACGATCGCCGTCGGGCCGTCAACCTGGTGTCCTCTACACGTGAAGTTCACCCAGTCTGTTGTTACATTTGTCCCCCCAACAAACGAGAACGTTCTATTTTATTTTAATATTCATGTTTTTTTGTTTTTATTCTTCTAAATCATATTTTACAGTCTACAATCTACCTCCCTAGTAATACTCTACAATAGATATTTTTTTTTTCTCTATGTATACAAACTCCCGATGAGTCACATTATCGGTTTTCCAGTAATGAAATTTATATTATACATGGAGTATTTTCTAATGGAAAATCATCAAGTCTCGAAAATTCACCTCATTATTCCCAGTGAAATACATAAGTCCATCGTAATCTTTAAGAAAAGTTGATGTATTTCACTGAGAATACAGTCAACCGCGTTTTATTGCTGAGCGCATTCACCGTAATACCATTGAATAAAACTAGAATGAATAACGTTTATAATTGAAAAAAAAAAAAAAATCACAATGTGGTCTCATATTCTTTTGCCTCTTTCCTCTATCCGATTAATCAGCTCCAAAGCTGAATTCACCTATACACATGCGTAGAAAATATGAAATGAATTTAATACGCATGTGTATGATAATATATATGACATTCCATTTATTTAATTTAATACTTTGACTATCTATCAATGTACGTTTATTATTTATTTCAACTAAAATTATACACAGTTACTTATATTCAACGACTATTTACCAATAAGATACCCTTATTTCTTTTATCCATTAGAATATATATTTATTTTTCATAGAATATTTGTTTTCTTTAATATCTAGTCCGGAAAAAAGTGGTACGATACACAATCTTTGAAAGATACAAAATTTACATTACGCAACGTAATTCACAAGTGTTGTATGTTTCAATTACACTTTGAAATCTGATGTGGCCTCATTTGTTCATACGCTGTGACAAAATCTAGATTGATTTTATTTAAGAAATATCTGAATGATCACTTGAGTCTATGAGCTGATTCACCTGTGATGGGTACCATAGTCGATAATTATGTTTACAAATAATTTTTCTCTACTTTATCTAATTGTTGGACATTGAAGAAATCACGTGTCCACTTCTACATGAGTGTTTACATCGTATCTCTTTCATTCTGTTCATTATTCAAAATCTACGTTCATAATTTCACGAGTTCATCATTAAAAATGAGAAATATTTGTTGATCTGCAAATGGGAAAAATGGAGAGAAACTGGATTGAAAAAGGGAGGAGATTAAACAATGAGCCGTCGCGCAAATAAAAACACTAACAAAATCATCACTCGTCCCCTCGAATTGCACGATATATTCGACAAAAGGGAAAGTCATTTCTCTATTTACCCGTATACATCTAAGATGATTTAGCAACAGTAAAAAGTGATAAAGAATTTTCATCTCCGCTGGTAAATTTTGTTCTTTCATTTTGTTGGACAGTGAATAGAGAACCCCCTACGGGGCAGCAAACATCTAAGAAATGCAGTCAATCTTGCCGTTTCATATTGAAATCGATAACACATTTTTTACGTAATATACCACATGAATTTAATTTTCAATATTTACAGTAACATAACGATTCGTTAAAGATAGTAGCTGACTTCGTTTTGTACTTGGGGCCGGGGGCTTGTATCACCCTACGGTATAATAATATACTTTACATATTTACAGAAATATTATTCATGATTTACCTGGACTTTTGTATGATTCGGTATTGTTCGTCGGTGGACCGACGGATTCACGTAACTTCAAAATGGCGTTCAGATAATTTGTGGTGAAAAACGCGTTGAGTTATTAGTCCTGACCGATATTTCCATGGCTCCACGAATAAACTGATGGGATACATGTATTTACAGAGTTAAAATAGCGCGACGCAACCGTTGAAGAAGATTAACCTTGTTACGTCAGAAAATGGTGGGCTGCGTCCTGAGCGATTGTTGATGGTTGTATTTCTGGATAACTCGCACTCATTCATGTGTATTCGGATCGCCAACCAGGCTGTAATGGACAAATAAAAAAACAATCCCCGATTACATTAAATCACGTTAGAGTTCCTTGGCAACGGGTTTTTGTTCACTGTGCCATCTCGATTCCACTCCAGAAATGGCGAATCGATTCATTCAAAATGGACGAATTGCATTAGGTATTCGAATTGGATGGATTTCTTATTGTTGGTGATATGTTGATTGAAAAAAACATCAACGATGAAAACTCACCATGGCGTTCGTCGTGGCGGCGAGCTGAAGACCCTGGAGACTCGTCATGTGATGGGAGTGTGAATGAGGATGCGAGTGAGGATGGATTGGAGGTGGTGCTGGTGGTGCAAAACCCTGATGGAGACCACTGGCAACACCAACACCCGTGTGATACATGTAGTGCTGCATAGCTGGATGCATCGTGTGATGATGTTGAGAGGTACCTGATGAGACAAATCACAGAACAAGATTGATTAAACCCATTTTACTAGTTGGATCATGAGTTATTTTTTTTTCAAAATGACATTTGCGGTGTTGGATGCATACCCATGGGTGAGCCAAAACCAGAGTGGAATGGCTTGTTATCAAGATCTAGGTGTCCACCAGCCTTGATCATGTCTCCCATGACACCACCAAGTCCCAAACAGCCGCTGCCCTTCTTCTTTTTACTCTTGGACGACAACTTCCGATTTCTCGTCTGTATCCCTTCCTTTTTCATAGTCAGTGGTCGGTTAACCTGGAATATTTAGAGACAACAAATTTTTTTTTACATTCAATGTGGCGAGCTAAAAATTTGATACGTGATGCACGCGAGGCATTTTAACTTGTCAACATCACATGAGAGCTTGAACAATCTCAACTATGCATTAGAAATATATTTCTTGCAGCCATGAGTATTCGTGAATAAATTCTTACTGTTGCATTCGTCTGATTGTAATGAGCCTCAGTATTTTATCCCCTGACTCGTAATAATTTTTTATAGGAATAATTTAAATAGGTGATGTCATTATAATCCAACCAGTGTTGGGTATTGTTTGCGGGAGTGATGGACAGAGCATTTACGAGGTCTTGCCGTGTATATCAACGCCATAAATCGATTCTCCTGAGCATGTAATGATATGATAATTGGAATTTCGAACAATACTTCATTCGTCTAGTCCCCGACATCGCTGAAGTTTAAAGCATTTAAAAACCATTTTCGCATCGTTAAGTTTCATGTAATTAATATAAATCATTCAGATTCTCGGCAAAACATCGAGTCAACTTGGAGACCACTGACAATTAGCAAATCGACAACCCTCATGTGCAATTTGTCGTTGGACTACGTCATCTCGCGTTCCATTGCGTCTCGTCCTTTTTTCTCTTAGTCGGCGCCGCGTGTGGCGCTTCCCTTTCTTCTATCAAAGGAAGTGAGACAATTTGTTGTAATTAAAGTCGTCTCACTGTTGCTCGTGCAAAATTTTGCGACGTCAAGTGCAATCGATGGAGGGGAAGTATGAAAAGTGCAGAAAAGTTCAATTAATTTCACATCGAAAAATCAGAGATATCAAACGAATTGATAATGAGATTTGTGAGTTGTGATCTCACAATCGTGAGATTATCAATGGAATGTATCAACTTTCTCAACATTATCCAGCAATCTGGCCTCTGTCAACGGAATAGTGTCATCCAAGAATGCGCGTTCTGTGCATTACTCAACTAAAGAATAAAGTAACATACGTATAGGTATGTTACGTACACCGAGGACCCGGGGAAATGAAAAAAAAAAAAGACAAAATAAAGAGAAATAAAAAAAAGGAAGATAGAGCGAGGCGGAGGGAGTCCCTTGGCGGGACTTTGTAGTTGCCGCGACGTGACGCAACTGCCAACATGGGGAAAAGGTTCCTGGTATTATAAAGAGTGAAGGAACGACGAGGATGAGAGATACATATATGCATTTTTATATCTTTTTCCTTCTTGAATCTTTTTTTTATCTCTCACTTGTATTGCACGCAGGTCCTCTCATCACCCACCCCCTCCAGCACTCGAGACGGTCAACGACTCTTTTCCAAATTATGCAATTGTACGAATTTGTCGAATTAGGTGATTCAAGTAATACGAGGAAGCGAGGCAATAAAAAAATTGACAATTCCCTTAAAATCCATTTGTTGAACACTTGTGATTAAGTTTATCAACAAATAGTCTTTCGTACGGTGAATAATTTCATCGTGTGAGGTTTTGATGATATTTTTCCCACGTGGTGCAACGATCTTTCCAATGGCAAAGAGCATCAGTCACGGGAGCATCTGTATACCCTGGTTGACATTGTCGGGCCGTCGGTGGCAGGACGAATTCGAAATCAATTTGAATACAATGAGACGCTTTAATGGGAAAGAAGCGTTTGAATCCGCGGGTGTTCGCGGGTGTTCGAAAAGCTTCGAGGTGCAAACGAAAGGTACGAGAGCAGGATGGCAAACGAAAAGGTAGATACGACGAATTTAAAGAGGAAGATACGACGAATCAAACCCAGAAGCATTTGAGTAACCCGACGATTGATGTGGACGCACACGATGCCATCGCACGCCTTTTGCATATGTTATTTCAAGCTCGTTTTCAATTATACCGTGGCTGTCAGGAATCTAGCCTGTCATCACTCAGGTTTTTTGGTAATTGGTTGATGAGATTTTTTTTACCGATAATTGAGGAATTCTGAGGGACAATAATTGTCGCGGGGTGAATACATCGTTCTTGTAGGAGGGAATCCACTTGCTATCGGCGTGGAAAAGAATTCCAATGGGATTCACTCTGGAATACAAATTTCTTCCCGTTGATTTAGCATTCTCTTGCCTGCGCAACACCTTTTACAACTTCCTGGAGTCGTGAAAATTTTCTATTCCGAGAGGTCTAATCGAAAGTTGAGTTTTATCCGACGGCGCGATCGGGCGGAAAGTTCGAAGGCATTTTGGGATGGCAGAGATTGAGCAGAGGTTGGTGAAACGTTTTCTTCAGGGTTTGAGGAGAGAACGATGAGGGAAAAATGATTGAATCAATTTTACAATCGATTGAAAATCGATAGACTGGTGGGAATAGCCGATTGATGAACCTTTTCTCGTTTTTTTCTTTTTTTTTTAGGGAAAGCATCAACCAAAATGGAGTGACTGAAGAATTGTTATGGCCACATGAAAGAATCACTGTCGGTTGATCTAAATGTGGTGATCACCAGCGCTGAAAGCACTGAAATAATGTGTCTTATCGCGCCATCATGACGGAGTACTTCTCGGTAGCACTATATTTATACATTTGCGGATAACATGGGTGCAACATAGGACAACATCCAATCAAGATGACATTGGTTCACACGCGGTCAGAGCAATCTCACACATTTCCCGAAGGAGAGTCACGATATCCCCGCGCTAAATTCATCGCACCTCTCAAATAACTGACCATCAACTCCCAACTTATGCATTTGTCTGTGACATGTACCTCTGACTCATTCGAGGACCCGGAGACACCGAAATTCGTTGAGTGGAAAAATTCTAGGAAACAAAAAGAAGAAAAAAAGAAAAAAAAAGGAGAAGAAAAAATAACCAGGGGTCACACGATCCAGAGGGGAATGGTAACTTAAGAAGATGCCTCGAATCAACCAGTTGGAAATCAGAGACCTCAAGACACCTTCCAAGAAACAACTCATCTTATTAAAATATATATATATTTTTTTTCACCCTCTTTATTGTTGATCCCTGAGTGTTGCGGTTGTTTCTTTTTCTTTTTCATTCATAGAAATTCCACAACTCTTTCGCATTGCCCATTTATTCTCAACGGAATTATTTTCTCAACGTGAGAAAAATTTTGGCGACTCAACGCGGTTAAAATGCACGGTTCAAGGAGACCTGGAGGAGCTTTGCATTTCGTGAATTTTGGTTTTTCGGGTACAGCGTTATCGTTCTGCTCTATCTTAACGATCCCAGATCCGTCCTGGTCTCTTTTCTCTTTTCGTTTACCCCTCGAGGCCTCAGCCACACATACTCCACCACACAGACATTAATATCTATCCAAGATCTTCCCGTGGACCCGGAGTAGTGGCCCGTCGTCAAGAAGAGGTCGACTTTGGACACTGAAATGCTACGAAAAGGCGAGGGAAAACGAAAAGCACCAGAGAAAAAAAAAACACACAAACAAGAAGAAATGTACGTGAAATATATGACTGAGAGAAAAGGGGGAAAAAAAACGGGACATTTCATATCGATTCCAGGCATCTCGCCCTTATTTCACATTCCCGCACATTTTTCTTTCGAACCACTAGAAGAAAAAGGAGAGGGGGAGAAGGTGAACTTAATTTAATGAACTGAATTAAGGAAACGGTGTTTTTTATTCCACACATCAAAGAGTTGGATGAAAAAGAGAAAAAAAAAATAGTAGAAACGTCTTTCGTCACGACATTCGACCCAGGGGGAGAGGTCACAGGGGCTCAGGGTTGACACGACGTACTCGAAATTTATTGAATACTTTTTTCAAACGATCTCGAATCATGAGAGCTCGGTTTGATATTTTAATGCCACCTCCAGTGCGAATATTCCGTATTTCAACTGATAATGTACACCTCACAATGAAAAGGGAAAAGTCTTTACTTCAAGTTTTATTTTATTCACTTTATTCCCCATCCCTCTTTCTCTTCAGTACGTGTCGCCCGGGTATTTAGCCTCCAGTACGGTGGAGCCCTTTTTTCGTTTAATTAATGATTACCAGGAAACGTGTCTGGGGCTAGCCTCTGTACTGTACAAGCGTAAACCCTCAACAACAACCTCGACATGCCTTTTTTTTTCTCCTTTTCCATTTCTCTGACCATATATTTTATTTAATTGTTTTACCACCAGCAATACGGGAAAATAAATAAATGGGGAGGGAGATCAAGCTGGAGAATTATTCCACTTGTTTAAGATTGAAAAATGACACATTTCATGGGTTTTTTAGAATTATTGGATTGCACTCCTGAAAATTTACTGTGGACTCCGGGAAATTACTGAATTAACGGAATAATTAGGAGAATTAACTGACTCGTCAATGAATTCACCGAAAACATTTTATCCGTTTCTCCACGGTATATTTCTAAAATTCCAGACCCTTGGAGTCTCACCTCCTCCACCCCATACATCCAATTTAATTATTCCCCCGCACGTGACATAAAAATAACGAAAAAGAAAAGAGTAAAAACCGGTGAAAAATAACCAGAACATTCCTCACGGCGAGTGCCTATCGAGAAAACGGTAGACGTGAAGCGATAATAATCAGTGGGAATGAATTATTGAGATATTAAATTTGGGAGGACGCGATCTAGCGATTAGACAGTTTGCATACGTGTAACGAGTCAGTCTCAAAGAGTCTGTGTCCCATTGGTGGATATCTCGAACAGAGGCAGTATTCACCACATAATACATTATAAATACATACACTTAAGAAGAGTTTAACGAATGTGTGTGGCACTGAGGCGCGTCGAGTGAGCCAATTAGCGATGGCCGATAATGAATAGGCCACTGAGAGATGTACGCTCTCTCTCCCTCGAAACAAATGGTCCGTATGCGCTGGTAAAACGAAAAATAAGTGAAAAATAAAAAGGAAAACTTTGAAAATGATAGGTCTGCTCGGAAAACAGCCTTCCGACACGGATATTCCATCTCTACGTGACAATACAAATGGTTTAAGAGCAAGTCCTTCTGACATTCAAACGAAAACCGATCATTATCCCGCGAAAAAACTACAAGGGCATTGTTGGGTTACAATATATCCATATCCGAGGTAGGTCGAGTGGTCGATAAATGTTGGAGAGGTTGATGTAACGTAATACATTGAGTTACCATTGTGTATCAGTGGTATTGTCGTAGGAATGCTGATGGGAAACCTAATTCTTGCCTTTGGACTCCGGGGGCCGATCCTTTAATGACACCGGGAGGATATGGCAATGCCACGTTTAAAAGGAAATCGAACCCGGTATTTCGTACGGTTGGTACATATGTCCTCGCTGTTACAATGGATCAAGAGGGAAAATAAATAAAAATCACAGTGTCTTTGGGATCCTCTCGACGAGGTTGCGAACCTCACTTCCGGCGCTTCCTGTGTCACACGCCGTTGAACACGCTCCACCCTCCAACGATTAATACTTTGTCAGCGGATTCCTCTTATGTGTACAGCACGTCCGGGTATTAGACGCCTTAATTGTTTATACAACAGGGAAGACACTCCAGTGGAGAGCTTGGGGGGACGTAGACGAAACAAGCTTTTTCGTGGTTTGTACATCGTACTTGAATTTAATGAATCAAGACCCTTTTTCATTGAGAGTGAATAAAAAATTGTGTAATGAAAAATTCAGACGAGCTTGTGGCTGTTTTAGTTTCAGAGTTTCATGAACGATCCGGCGCCAACGATTTCCCGATCTGTCCCGGATTTCCACTTCCTCGAATTACCCTATCATATTATAATACCAATACACTCAAGATACTCACGTTGTGAAGTTTATAATACAATCCACAGGCATTGCAAACCGGCTCACCAGCCTGATTCCTTCGCCAAAGTGTTGTCGTCGCTGTTTTACAGTTTGCGCAACTGGTACCTGCCCTCCGCGCGGCACTCTGGAGCGACTGCAACAAGAAAAATAAAAAAACATAAGATAAATATAAAAAAAAAATGAGGGATCAATTAATCATCCCCCCACATCCCAAGTCAGAATCAATATACCCCAAGAACAAGAGAAACCCGAGATGATGGACAGAAAAATGAAAATCCCGAAGTAAACGATCAGTCAAATTTCGACAGAGAAAGATTGACGGACACCTCGTGGTCCCTTAATCCCGTATCTCATGTTGAACGAGAAGATGAGAAGCTCCAGGACGTTGGACCAGTGATGCTCGTCAAAAAATAAAGTACAAGAAAACGCGTGACTCCAACGGTCTAAAACGAAACCAGATAAATAAGAAATAAAAAAAAAAAAGGATTCCCCTGCCACCTGTATCTCGAATCCCTCGAGTGGCAAACACTTAACTAAAAAGGTCTATTATATCCCACCCGGGGCAACGAGTATATAGCTTATTTACCGTTTCCCATACGCATACTTATGTGCCCCATTGAGGTGGGGAGAGGACAACAGGGCAGACCAAGAGGCCAATATACCTGAAGACTTTTCCTTACGAGCATTCGCCATGACACAGGTAAAGAGGGAGAAAGCATCAGGAACGCAAATCCCTGAAGATACTTCCACTATACTTGTGACTGGAGCACTTAACCCCCAAGATGACATGCTACATTGGAAGCGACCTGGGGCATTCCGATCGAAGACGACCGGGTAAAAGAAAATGAATAAAAAAAAAAAAAAGAAGGGACGAAGGAAGAATGAGAATGAGAATGAGAATATAAACGGAGAGAAGACAGCGGCAAGAGCCTCGCTTGTATAACGTTTCTTATATGTCACTGTATATATTTTCTATAAAATGTTTCTCTCTGTCTACCTGCCATTGTAGACGTCCTTCGAAACGATCTGTTGAACGCTCACGCGCGGGAGTTATTGGTATTTTATTGAGTAGCTCTTTCACTCTTTGAACAGTGCATCAAAATGTAATCATTTATGTATGGGCTTTTATGCATTCTGTATGATGTCGTTGGATCGAGTTATGGCCAATGGTAAATGGTAGAACACTTAATGATACACCTGGTATCCATGAATTATCGGGATTTCTATTTGCGTGAATCGGTATTTCTACCAATTCTCTGGATGTCACACAGAGAGAAATATCTAATAAAAATTACGTGCCTTTTTCGTCATTCCTTTCATCAAATAATAAAACAAAAATGCAAAGCTACTATTGCAACAATCTCTACGATAAACTCGGCAAAGGGCCAATTTCTCAACCAGCCCAGCGCAAATCTTAATTAATGTAATAGCCATTTCATTCATCAACGTCCATTTTGTATACAAGATATTTTTTCCCCTCGATTTCTTGTGCAGTACTCCGTGGATTTACTCTGGGAGATTAAAGGGAGGTGGGTAAAAGGGGTAGGTACTCTAGGAAAGGAGAGAGAGAGAAAAAAAAATAGAGGAACGATTGCATCAAGGGTTGGTGGAGGCCTCCGTGTGTAATCATGGTTTATCGCTGGGATCTTATCGGTAGTGAACCGCGTTTGCCTGTGGGCAAAAGGGATCTAGTGTGAAGGACGTTATATAGAGTGTGCATAGCATGTCCGTACGTTGAGGTGAGAGTGGAAAGGGTCAAGAAAGCCCCAAATCAATACCTAACGCCGGCACGCGGCATACAGAGGCTTTTTATCTGCTCTAGATCTTTGACACCCTGAAAATCATCGAATGGCCCCAATGCGGTCAATTCTTTTGCCTCACCACTCCATCATCCCGATGCCAGTGGACTAATGGTTATTAAATCCGGCACTGGAGGTAATCTCCAGCTATGGATTGAGGGGATTTCATTCCGCCCCGGTATGGAGATGACGAATGTTTTTTTCAGGGCCATTCACGTTTTCGATAATAATTACACTAGAAATGAACTTTGACATTTAAATTATTCAATCTTCACTATTACACTATTTTCCGTTTTTAATTCTCGGTTGAACGATTTTCCGAAATTTTATTGATTCATTTATTGGATAAATCATGAGATGAATATTGTGTGGAGTAAAATAAATAATAATTTCATTAATTTTCGTGGTATTCTTTTGAAAAATTATAAAAAATTGAGAGCTGATCATAACCGATCGTTCCAATGAAACCCCATACAAATACGTAAAATAATAATTATAATAAATCCGGTGCGATTTATTATGCAGATCGTTGGCCATTTACGGGGTACGATCCGGGTGCAATCAGGAGACTGGCGGTAATTGCTTCTGGTTACACACCCGTTGCTGATACACTTGGGCCCAACGTTGTACGCCAACTTATAACCGGTTGTCCGAGACTTCCCAGGTAGATTCAACATCGAATATGACAGTTGTGACGTCGGGATATTTTTTTTTTTTCGCCTTGAAAATCCGCGAGGTATTTTTAGACACTTTATTCACTCTATTTTTTCACCGACATGAGATAACCCATAACGCTCGCGTGTTCTCCATTTGCATCGGCTCTATGCGTTGAAATATATCGAATGAAAAATGGCGAATGAAAAATCCTCCCAGATGTAAAAATACCGAGCATCTGATGTAATGATAAATTATTAATCGAGCCTCTTGTCACTAATGAGAACGACCACCAACGGGAGCGATTTTAACAGGCGCACATATTCATAAATAAAAGTGCATTATAGTCCGGAGTGACTCGGTGAGAATGGATCAATCGATTAAATTGAGTATACAAACCCATGAGGGGCATTACTGTACTTCCCCCCAACCAATCAGCGCACGGATAGATTATTAATGACCAGCAATTTCAAATGAAACATTAAATTACTCCCCCCCTGTGTCCCACTCGTGTAATTTTTTTTTTTAATCCAATGGTGGAACAATGCGCGCAATGAATTGACGAAATGATTTTTAAACAACCGCTATAATTAATGCAAATGAAAATAAAAATTAGCTGAAAACTCGGTGTATTTCCCTCTGCCGCGCATCGCCACTCGGGGAGCCAATTAAAAACAGTATGGTGGAATAATTAGTCCTTATACACATCTGAGATAGTGGAGAGAACGATGAGTGGTGGGTCAGGGGGTGGAAAGGGCGGGTGGTTTCTCAGGACGAGGTACGTAATGTACACGGTGAGTTAAATGAGCACTTACGAACGAGGCCGCACCGAGTGAGATAATTATCTCTATCCTTGACTAAATCGTGACTAGAAACCCCTCGTCGGGGTCTGACCAACGCGTGTCCACTCCTAGTAGTGGGAGAGAGAGTGCATTATCGTTGGTATATTGTCGGCAACATTGTTACCTATCTGGATACAAATTGCTGGCCAGTGGATAACTTTTTAAATTACGCTAACACGTGTTACAGATATCCTTCAACTGTACTTGACGAATTGTTTAAATTCATTTTATTTTATTTAATTATCATCTGCTTGAATAATTCATTGATATTTGTGCAAATTAAAATTCAAATTTGCCATTCGGATGGAATTGAATGGATTTTATTTATAGGTGTATTGATTGTTATAATTAGTAATGCTTTCTAGATTGAATTTTCAGTAGATGTTGGGGTAAAAAAAAAGTTGAGACGCAAATGGTATGAAACTTTCTGAAACACGTAACAGACGGCTATTTATTACACGATATAGTTTGTGAATTTAACATTGTCAGAGTATATCACGGGTATATAGGTACATGACTGTGACAAGCGGTGGTACCGCATTCCTAACACTACCAGGGGCTTGTTCACATGTTACTCATCAGCCGCGATAGATCTTTCAGCTCTAGTAGATCCGATGAAGAGGGATAAGGCGGTAGATCACGCTGGATCGTTGAAAAATCGAGATATCCCGGTGGTCAAGAGAGGATACCACCCATGTCCTTGTGTTACACTCGCGGATTTAAACGTGGATGAAAAATCCACAATCTACTGGGTTACTAGAGCTAACAATCTATATGATAACCCAGGGATAGTTACGAGAGGCGAATAGACCGGATCATTGCATCCGTGTCACTTAACTGTTATCGTTCACTTGAAAAATTTCACTCCAGAATAATTTCTGTCGAGTATCCTTGAACGGTGTACCAAAGGCTTTTGAAGTTTAAAAAACATACGCCAAATCTAATTGTTAATTGAATAAATGATTTTTCGTAGGAAATATCTCGTTTATCCTTGAAATTTAATTTTAATTTGAAAAAAAGCGGAAAAAATGGTGAGCCCAGATGATTGAGTCACCGGATGATAAAGTTGCAATCTTACGGTATGTGAAAACTCCAGCGAGCGACACCAACTGGTCCTCATCGCAATGTAAGAACAAGAAAAAAAAATTCCATCGCTACACAGAATTTATTTAAATTGCTAGCAATGTTCCACTCGTGTTCGGCAGCTTCCTCTCCTGGTGGAATACCCTTGCCCCTCCAGAGAAAATGGTTGTGACACCGTGCAGGAGTCCCCCCAGGTGGATGCACCTCATTTTATATATATATTTTTTTTTCACTGCCTTTGTTTTTGCCTGCCTTTCTTCCACGTATGTTTTTTTATCCGTGAGAGAATGGCGGATAGTCTCACCGAGGCAATTTCAATATGCTTGATATTTTTCTTTTTATATTAAAACCGAGGTAAATAAAAGCATCGGCGATTGGCTTTTTCTGGTGAAAAGTTGTTATTGTTTGTGTTTGCACAACCCCCAGGAAGTCGTTTATGGCTAGTGCTGGCCACCTCTCGACGATGTTACCACCACAATGGATGTTAACTGTATGGGTGTACAGCCCATCGTACCCGCTTCGATCCCATTGTCTCTGATACATTGTATCTCGTACTTGTGAGAAAAAAATCAATCAATGTTTTTCACTTGTTCTCTCCACTGAATTCTTTTTTTTTTACCACCGAGATGGCGAGCCCCGAGGGCGCAATGCGAATCCCCCCATTCATCCTCACAATTGAATATCAATTATATTTATTCCTCATTTTTTTTTCAATGACGCAATCACCCAGAAAAAATATATATAAAATATATATT